ATACATTGGTTGTTGCTAGGTTAACATTTTTTCAAGGCTTAATAGCTGTATACCGACAAGCCAATTCTAAAGAATGGTATTATAAAACAAACAAAAAAAGGTACGTGAAGCCTTAAACTAACACGTGCACTGCATGGCAGACTAAAGTCGATAGACCTTTTAATGCGTTTTGTGCAGTTCACCTGCAGTCAACCTAATCCGTAAGAACGTTACCAGTTGCAAGTGGGTAGGTGTTAACTGTATTGAGAGAATACAGCTATTGGAATTGACAAAAATTGTTGTCATAAATTATGTTCAATCACTACAAAAGCATGGACAATTTTAACTGAAATGACCAACTGTCTTTAAACAAGGAAATAATCATGCCGTTGTCAACCAACTGTTTCACTTTCCCTCGCATTAAAATATCTTGTTCAAGGGTATTTTGTAAGATGGTCAATAACACGAAAGGCACGTCCAATGCTTATGTTTTCATTTTGATTAGGACTTAAGCAATGACAAAGCTTTCCCAAACGGAAACAATTTCATATTAAAAAATAGTATCCCTGCTATTTCATGGAAGAGGGAGATAAAGTACATACAGGAAAAAGGGAAATAATTAAGGAGTGTCAATTTAATTTCAACTTTGGATAGGCATGTTTCCCTATGCTGGAGAGAAACCTATATTGATTTTGGAAAATCTACTCCTTAAACAGCCTCCACAGATCGATAGTGTTTTCTATTTCACAAAAAAATAAATGTATATTCAATCTAAAACCGGCTGGTATACCCAATATAGCCAGCAGAGTATCCCACAGTATTAACTTACAATAGAATTTCTCCCCCGGTATATATATATTATTTCAAAAAGCCTGGAATGATCGAAATATCTAAAATTCAAATTCCACAGCTTTGACATATTGACTCATCTCCGATTCTTTTCATTTTGAATTAAAACATTCATCGCGTACACTGAAGCAGATTTATGACTCTTTCCAAAGAATTAATTCCGAGTCTAAATTGGATATGAGTGCGTCAGCTTATGCAATTCGGTTGTTATCCAGATGAGTTATTCCAGTATTATGCAAGATTGTTCAGAATACATTAAGACGATCTGATCATTCGTTCTGCTTCTCATTAAAATGGTTACGTCATAACTATCACTTACTAGATACTCTGTTGACTTGTCATATTTTTCTGTCATTTTCTTTCCTGCCTTTTATCATAATGTACCTTAAGGTGTCTACCTCAAACGTCATACTTATGTAAGCGTGCAATTAGAGTAGGGAAGCAAAAGAAGTAAACGCCGGCTATTATTATTAGTTTTTTGTCTAAAGGACATGTTAACAATTGTACAGCGTTTAGAAAACATTTGTATTTATAGCTTTATAAATGCTATTACTTATGATATTAACACCATTGCTATTATTATAAATGTTGTTGTTGTTGTTATCATTATCATCCAATTGAAGGAATGATTCTGTAATTTATCTTTTTTCATTGAAATTATATTTGTGTTTGTATGCATCTTATTTAATGTACTTAAAAATGTATAATTATGTAAAATGAAGAAATATTTGTTACTTTATGTATATGATTATGTTCTATTTTGAAAATGCAGGAAAAAAAAAAGGGAAAAAGGAATGATTCAAATACAAGCAAACAAAATGATTTTATAAATGCAATGCTTCCTGGGAGAAATTTCAATTATTCAAACATATTTACTGGGTGTATAAGCCAAAAATATGTTTGAATAAACAAAATGATGTATGCCATAGGTCTGTATAAAGAAAATCTGTATTTATCAACTTTAGAAGTATTGCATGACCGTATAACGACGGAAGAAAAGCTAAATTCCTACAGAACATATTTCATTCAGTAAAATATAACTTACCCGATTCGACTCTTAGTACTTTAGTTCGGAATAGAATATGACTAAAATCTAATACTGTGCTTATATGTCTATGCATATAGGCACTCAATGAAAATGAACACATAATAAACCAGATTCCCGTTGTTAAAAGAACTGTGTAAAAACCCACGATAAGCTTCAAACATACGTATACAACACATCAATATGACAGTTTATTTGGGGGCACGTAAAATGCCTTACGAGCTCAAAGATGAACGAAGCTTGTAATTGTTGGTTATGGTGGTTCTATCGTTGATTTATAGTGACCAAATCTGACATCTCGGAATTGCGTCAAACTCCTTCGGGAGAATTAGAGCGTGAAGCAACATCTATGGAAATCATACAGGAGATAGAATAGAGAGTAAGAAAGCTGGAAGAAAAGTAATATTGACCCCACGATCTATGACAGCCAGAAGAAGGGGAGTGAACCGATGATGCTGAGATGACCGCCTTATCACAGCACTTTTTGCCTTTTTTAATAATCCTTCTCTCTCTTTTTGTATGTGTCGTATTTCTTGGTTGCCGTGGGTGACCAACGAATTATGAACATTTTACTCGATTTCTTAGTTTCCTGCTTTGGTCTGATTTTGTCCTATTGAGGGGATATCACATACCTATTGCAGCGGAATACTATAAGGTAACAAGCACTCCACATGATGAACACTTTCTTTCATACTTCTTCATTTCCTTTACCTCGTATATTGGAAGGTGTCGAGCGGAGATTATGATTATGGTTCAAAAGTATAAAATACTGAGAAAATTCATTTTCATGGTCATAGTCTCATGACACAAGTTTTGCATGCTGATCATTTTTGATGTGAATTTTATTTTTTATTTTGTGATTTATACAAATTATCATTTAGATTAGCTTGATTTATGACATAAAACAAAGATGGTCGAAATTTACTCTCTTTTCCAATGAATGATATCTCATAAATATATTTTCATGATTTACCTGTCAATCAGTGGTTAATGTCCCTCCAGACTGTGTTAATCGTTTATTGGGGATGAACTGTGAAAATCGGTAACATTTCCATTGGGTTTTTAGTTGCACATATTTTCTTGAAAACACACAATTACCAAACATATGATATTCGGGAGAACCTAATATAATAGCATTTAGATGTAACTTGTCTGCAACTTGCATATTTCAAAATATCTAAAAAAGAATCCCCCCTCCGAAAAAAATAGAAAAAAATAAGAAAAAATGTAGTTGAAACGGAATCCACTAAAGGGATGGGAATGATCTTGCTGGTTTTCGAAGCGTTTCCCTGACCCCCATAATTGTGATAATAGATTGCTGGAAGTATACCACTGGATTAAATATTGGAGTAAATATTAAATATCAAAAACTGTGTCAATAATATATTTCTATCCAATGAAGCTTTTTTTTTTATTTGAACAACTTCTATTTTTAATACATCAGATATATTGGTAAAGTCTTCATTAACCCTGTTTATGTATTTTTCTTTCGTCCAAACGAAACCTTGTAATCGGGAGTGGAATATGCAACGTCGCAAGAAAATATTATTTGTTGAAATGCTTGCAACAGAATTTCGTGTCCTCTTTTCGTCGTATCGTTTAATTTAACTTTGCATCGTCACGCAGAGTATTACTCTAGAGCTATCTAGATCGCGTAAATTAGTTTAGTAGATTTGAAGATTTACTATAAAAAATCTGTACTAAGCTCCCCCTGCTTTTCATTACCGGTGAAAATGAAATAAAACTTGTAAAAATAAGATTTTTCTTATTTTAGAAGGTAAAAGGAAAATGATACAGTTTTTTTCTTTACCTGTCGAAATGCTCTTTAGAGTTTTTATATTACACCGTAGAAGCCGGGTGATAATTCATGAGAAACCACCATCTCTTACAAACTACTCCTTCTTTAAAGATGTCTCTTTGGGTGTATACTTTGACAAAATCGCTACGGTCAGTGCTGTGGGTCAAAGGGCATATTTTCAAAGAAATTATCTTTCTTTCTTTTAAAGTTATTATTCTAACTTAAACTGTGTACTTTGAGCATTATATTTTTGTTAGATTTTAGAAATTGTTCTTGGTTCTTAAGATATTGACGTTTGAAGATTGGTTCAACTCATAACACACGTGAACTGTACAAGATAGGTTTGATAATGTGTTAGGGCGCCTCTGTACTGAAATGGTTAGTATTACTTGACTGCATATCACCTATATTTCATAACGATCAGCAAAAAAGATTTGCAAACCAAATTATGGGAGTTCTCCAGAGTAATACTCCAAGCAGAATATTTGATTTATTTTCAATTTGAGAATTTTCCCCGAGAATTAATATAGTCAATGAAATACTATTATCTTGTTTACTCCAGTACGTAATTTATTTTAATACTTTTCAACAAAAAAATAAACGATGAATCAATTTTCTACTTTTAAATGGAAATAAAATCCCTTAAATGATTTCTATGGTAATTCGATATCATATCGTTTCTAGAACTGGAGCAGTGGTTTAAGATTTGGGAATCTTTCATTCACTTTAAATATACATAGGTGAACATCCATTTTTTAGGTATAAGATGATGATAAGGATAATATTTATGGGATATAATCTCGGTTTATCGTCAGGGCTTTTTCTACCATTTAATTCAAAAGAAGATTGATAAATTGATTCTGCGGTAACTTAAAAGAAACTTTTTTATTTCGTAGATATCTAAAAAGGTTAAGCTAATTGATGATGAAACGTTAAAATTGTTTATTTGTTTGTTTTTTCCAATATTATTTTTATACAATCAGAAATTACCCAAAATTAATAACTTTATAATGACTTTGTAAAAAGAACTTTTCATTCTTATGATTTTATTTATCGGGAGTACAATCATTTTTTTTTTTAAAGCTCATCATTCCCAATATCTGTCTGACTAATCATATGTATTTTGTTTACTTCCGTCATTCCAATAAAAAAACAAATTTCTACCCAAGGTATTCAAGTGTCAGGATGTGACGGTTAACAATAAATTATTCACAGCATAACAACTTGCCTGCTTGAATTCATCTTTATATTTTTCTCACTCATCGTACAGAGTCGTATCCTATTAGCACCCATATCGTAACTTAATTCCTTGTGTCTTTTCATCCGCAGGGAGCTTCTGTCAGACACGTTGCACAGGAGGGAGCAGGAAGAGTGAGCTATGTTTCTACTGTCGCAGAAATCGTAAGTTTAATACCAAAAGCTCTTATAATGGCAGGCAACGATGAGAGATAAGGTTTGATTGAGGGTGATGAGTGAGAGAATATATTTTCGTTCGAAGTGATAATAAAGCAAACTTGATATTTCACAACAAAAATAGTTCTTACTGGAGGCATATTCTCCTCTTGATTCTAATATCCAAGACTGTCTATGTTGACACGGTCCACTTCAAATCACGTAATAGATATCTGCATAGACGGAGGCGTAGCTTGAATTTGGGATTTGGGGGAGATGATTTTTACTTTATAATCAACATACCAGATAAAATATAGAAATTAATGTGCAGGCACCTCGCTGCCGAATACATAAATACAAAAATCATCATGTGCAGTCAATTCCAAGGTGTCAATTCGATGCACGTATATGAGGAGATTCGGGAATCTAATTGCCTAGAATTATCCTGTTTTTAAATGTTGCAAGCGATTGAAGGGAACGAGCGTGGACAAAATTAATTTCGATATAAAAGATATAAACATATTCCAGCACCCCGTCGCTAAAATATGGAAATACTCAGGCGCTTCGCTACCAGAAATCATCATGTTTATAAAGATTTTAAGCGAGCGAAGCGAGTGAGGAAGATACTATTAAACCTTTGAAATGCCATTTCCTCATTAAATAACATACTTAGCGATTTCTAAGGTTTTCGAGGAATCAACTTATTCTAAAATAATGATTTTTTTTTTCTTTCTGTATTACTACGATTATTTCGCGGCTTCCCTAGAGATGTCCTGCGGCACCCCGGTTGAGAAACGCTTCTCTAGACACAAGTTTTCGTTTAGACATTACACACAGAGATCCGTGATAAGCAGAAAAAGGCACTTCAGTCACCGGATGTATGCTGAGTAAATGAAAAATCATTTAGATAAAAACTCGAGGGAATTTCAGTGCTTCAATAAATCACGATGGATTTGTATGTACTCGGAAAACTCTATTTGCAAATCCCAAATAAAACAGTAATCCGAAACGTGAATAAAATAAAGGGATGTATTACATGAGTCATAATTTTAGAACAACTTTTGTTGTAAAAATTATTTCTTCGAATGTATAAATCATCTGACCTAAAATGATTCACATCATTGTAGTTTGAATGAAAGCAGAAACCGTAGTCTTTATCTACAGGTTTCACTGTTTATGCATATATATGAAGAAATTCTTAACAGTCTGGTTTTCATCCAAACGAAAAAAGACTTGTGCTTACCCTTTTTTCCCCAAGACACACACAACAAATCAATATCTTTAATTTTTCTCCAGATCAGTTAAATGGATTAAAAGAATGGTCGATTTTTAAATGTCCGAATCTTTCAAATACAAATAGGCAAATACTACAATGTTTATTACAATGTGACGTGTATTGGAAATTGTAATAATTTCCGTTCATTAAAAGTATCTATCATATCCATTGCCTTTTATTATTCTTAATTCATGCCCTCCTTGTAAAATAGGTGGTTCATCAATAATCAAGTAGATGGACATCCGTTATAAATTTTGTGCATGAAGCCTCGAAATTATGGAAACCTTAAATTGATTACGTGCATTTTTATGTAATCATATAGAAATTGATAATGTTTTGAAAGAAAGATCATCACCTCATCATCAGCCTTTATATTTTTCTGCAGTTATTTCAACTAATTCAGTCTCATAAACATCGTTCTTTTATCATTTGAGTCAACCGATTTCTGTCTACACTCAAAACAAGTGATAAAACCGTATATAATTAACATATATGGTCCGTTTATCCTTCAAAACAAAGAGTATTTTCAAGTATCTGGAACAAAGTGTACACTTTATATTTAAAAATGACACTACCTATATAAGTGTTAAACCATTTAATGTTCTTCATACTTCCACTTGCTTTTATTCCCTGTCACTACACTCTCAAAGCAAAAAGTGTACACATATTCATGACAACCTGTTACTGAGTCATGTATCAACTGATCGTAATGTATGCATTATTAGTTTGTTTTCTAAATCAAATGTGTGTTGTCTTTCCTTTAGATTATATTCGGGAATAATAACTACAAACCTACATGATGTACTCATTTCAGGTTGCTTTCAATTTCAATATGCTTACTTTCCTTTAGTTAACATGCAAATCTTCCATCAATTCCATTTTCGAAATCTCTTTAAATTCAGAATTAATTTTGAGCATTTAAGTTAATTGCTAATCATTACACGAGGGAAATTAAAGCGATGCTAGGAAACTACGCCGGGTCTATAGTAATGAAGTACAATTCTCCTTGTAGGAGATCGTGTGCCATGTTACATACCAGAGTGCTTATCCACAAATCTGAGAGGAAAACGAATGTCAATATAACTCCTTCCCTAGGACAATCAAATATTCGTCTCCTAGGGAATAAAACATTAATGGAAATCAATTAGCATTCTCTTGGCTTTCTATAGTCTGAATGTATGCTCTTCAATGCACGCTCTTATTATTACATCATCATATTGACCTGAAAAGGGGGATGGAGTCAAGGATTAATATGACTTGTTGGAGAAATATTCACTAGTTGAAACAATGGACTGAAGCTGTATCCTTTTAAGAATGCTCATGTCCAGACGATGACTAATGGTGGCTTGAAAGTACAGGTTTGGAAAAAGAAATGCTTCACAACTGGTATAAGAAGTTGACTTTTAAAATACAAGTTCAGAAGTGTTTTTTCTCCGATTCTTGTCATAAAATATGTCACAATGTCAGCTTATTTTATGAAACATCGAGGACCTTTTCTCATTGCACTCATTAGTAAATGTGAATAATATCTTGAGTTACGTGGTCAGACTTGAATAAGTAAGACGAAGTCATCTCTTAAAAAAAGGTGTCGTTCACACATGAAGAGTTTAAACCGTCGTAAAAAGGCAAAGAAAAATCGCCACGGCTAAACAGAATTGCAAAATCGTACGGTACGCTTTCCAGTTCTTTAAAAAAAAAAAAATCTTTGACCGCCAACCTTTCTAAAGAGCATCTCAAAGGCAATTTCAATAGCCTATTGTGTATACCATACACTGTCATAGAAATCATGTTCTGATCACTGAGATGATTACAACTAACTACATTGATCTGAGTAAAAGAATAGTTAGATTAATTTTAAAGCCTTGGAAGTCCAGGAGTAAATATTCTAAAAAAGAATGAAACGCCGATAATACCAAACAAATAACAACATTGATATGTAAATACAATGATGTTGGCTCGCTTGCTATAAAACCGTAGAGCATTGAATACATAGAATAGAGAATTCTGAGCTTTTGTTAATTTCCACAGCGTCTTTGAAAAAGGGAAAGAAAAATATCATATCTATTGTGACGTGTCGTTGGTTCATGTAGCAATCCTACTCTGAACCTTCGTCATGTTTTCCAGGCCTATTATCTCTCATAGCCACCTCAGTAATGAACAATACCATATTTAGTGAAAGAGTCACATACAAGCAATAACCGTGTTTCAATTAAACTTAGATTAGGTTCAGCCTTGAAAATACATATGTTCAATTCCTTCAAAATTGGGGATGATGCCTAATGTTGATGTTACCATGTATCTTCGTATGTAAACATAGATGTATACCGTGTGAGTAAAAAAAAAAATTACACCAAGAAAATTTATAATTATTTTTAAAATCATTTATGAATAGTAGATTATTATACATCTTATGAAAGAGAATTTATCCCAAATCATTTGGTATCATTTTTGTGTGGTATGTGTTCACGCTCGGAGGAACAGGAGGCATTGTTTGCGAGAGTGCAAAAATCGACTAACGCCAAAGTAATGCCTACAGTATGTGATAAGTTAGGATTAAAGTGAGAGAATGAATTGAATGTATCAAATGAGATGCATTGCATATGCTTTTTGCAGAAGCAAAGTCACACACACACACACGCGCGCGCACAAATGTTCGTTGATATTTGAAATTCGATATATGATATGTGTGACATGATAAATTTTGTTAGGGATGTTATTTGGATCTGCACTGACAGAAATAATACCCAAATCCCAATTGTTGTATTAAAACATCACATAAAAAGCAACTTTGGCGCAAGTCGATTTTTGCACTCTCGCAAACAATGCCTCCTGTTCATGCAAGCGTGAACACATACCACACAAACATGATATTAAATGATTTGGGATAAAACGCTCTTTCATAAGTTGTATAATAATTTACTGTTCATAGATAATTTATAAAATAATTGGCAATTTTATAGGTGTAAACTTTTTTTATTTTTGACTCCCATTGTATAACAAGTAATAATAAACACATGTAGATGTATATAACAAGCAATAGTGAATTGAAACATAAATGTATATAAACTCCCTGGTGAAGGAACTAGTTGCGTTTTAGGAATTCGGATAATCAGGTTTTATTTATTAATGGCAGAAATGCATTACCTAATCTTCTTCTCATATACACGCCAATAAGTGGACATTAACTGACATCTATACATGTATACAATATTTCCTGGAAAAACGTGATGGACATTGATGATATTTCAAGGAATGCCTCCGGTCTAATTGGCCCCTTACACGAGTTCCAATATCCTTTATATGAGGGAAAATCTGGGATTGATAGTAATTCTGATGTTATTATGTCGAGTTCTCACGTACAACATAAACGAATATACATGCGATAAATCGTCAAATGAAAATAAAAACTAATTAAACTGTAACATCACTCTTAAAAATTGTCAGGAGTAAGGACTTTGAATGTTCAACTTGATAATATCTAAAAGCAATTATCCCTCTCTCTCTCTCTCTCTCTCTATACGTGTTGGCCTTCCGCTTCCCACTATGCATTGATTGCATTTATTGTATGAACATTTGATTTATGATGAGGAAGTAAAACGAACGACGCTGATCTTGGGAACAATTCAGGCATTAGCTCAAACAAAGGAAAAGATTCAGAGAAAATAGCAGTTACAAATTCAGAAAGCTGTTGGTGTGTGTGTGTGTGTGTGTGTGTGTGTGCGTGCTCTCACCTCAGCATTCTTGTGGGGTTTTATGTGCGCTTCACATACCCCTTGTGAGGCATTTTTACTTTGTGGGGTATTTTTTCAGGACCCCACAGAGTAAAGTCTTTCAAATGACTGTATATTCGGTGTCCTATGCCCTGCGGGGCATTAGAAGTGGTACCCCATAAATGACATTTTGTGAGCGTGTGCTAAAACTTGCACACTTTTTTATGGTAACATCGTAAGCACACCGCCGGGTTGTTATCGCCAGGTTGTACATACCCCACTAGTAGGGGACCACAAGGTATATCTGGAACGCACAGAAATACCTCACAATCAGGTGCCCCACAAAGGCCCTGATGTGAGAATGCGGGTGTGCGTGTGTGTGTGTGTCAGTGTGTGTGAGGAGGATTGTTAGTGTTGATCTCCCTCTCTCTATTCCCAAATTGCGTTACCGTGAGGTGGCAGTAAATTAATTATACACACACACACGCACGCACACACCCGCACACACGAACACACACACACACATACACACCCGCGCGCACCCCACACCCACCCACACCAGTGGGCATGGGCGGTTTCCTATTTGAGAGTAAAATCGGGACAGGGAACGAAGAGGAAATACTCAATAAACTATTGTTGGGAGTGGGAGAGAAAGAGATATAATAATGATGATGGAGTGAGAAAGGTAAAGGGAAAGAAAAAATAGCGAAACACTATTTTATACAATTTTGAAGACGAAATAGTATGTGTTTGTATAATAATCAAATTCATGATTACACATTTAATCGTAATAAGCTTTATAAGTTCGTAGAAGAATGCCTTGAATTATAAAGTCAAATTTGCGGATGAAAAAAGAGAAAGAAGAAATTAAAATGTGTGTATATCCCTTTAATCATGCCAATTATGTTAAAGATCGTTTCTATTTTGTCCTCATATTCAGTCATGATAAATGGCTTCAGGACTTGCATGGTTTCATTTCCCATTTCATTGTGAAATTAGCCGTCTGCCTTTATGCATAATTCCGCGGGTCGATAAGTCTTTTTAGAGTTCTTTTCATGTTTATTTCTTTTTATTTATCTATTTATTTCCTTTTGTCCTCGCAAGGTTGTCCTCACAAGGACTTCTCTTTTCATGAGGCAATGGATATGTGACTTTACATGTATATCACGATGAGCATCCTTTATTTCCAACCCCCCCCCCTCCCGTCCCCTCCCCCCCCCCCTCTCTCTCTCTCTCTCTCTCTGTGTGTCTATCTCTCTTTGTGTGTCTCTCTCTATCCCCCTCTTTCTGTCGTCTCTGCAAACGTGCCGATTTTAGAGTGAATACTAGCCTGTAAGAAAAGGAGTGACGAGAAAATATATATTATGTGGCTTTGTGCAGAAGTGTAGCTCAGCGATTGACATTGCAAAATTACTGATAATATTAATGATCGGTATAAATAGCTAGCAAATATAAGAACGCACTCACACACACACACATACTCTCTCTCTCTCTCTCTCTCTCTCTCTCTCTATCTATCTATCTATCTTTATCTCAAATGTCTCTTTGTCTTTGTCGCACTTGCACTTTCTACATATTGAGATATTTAATAGGATAAGACCATAACTTACCCATCTAAAAATACATTTACAAGATAGTGATAGTTTGTTCCGTTAACTGTCACTACCAAAATGACGCTTTTACCTTACTTCTGATTTATCGGATTATGCTTTTACAAAAGAATAACGTAAGAAAAATAAAGATCCTGCTTTAAGATAAACTCTTGATTTTATATCATCTAATTTACTGATTGCTCCTTTTTCATTTACATCCAAAAATAATGATCATGAAACAGCTATTTTGTCCACTCTGATTTGATATCAACTTCAAAAATTCAAAGGAAAACAAATATTATTAAGGCTATAATAGCCTTTTTCAGAAGAAAAAAATCTTCTCGGCTTGCGTTTGACGCTATGTTAGAAGATCTGTTCTACAAACCTATCATAAATACGTATTTTTGGTTAAACCTGTTTACAAAATAAACACCTTATGAAACAGTGAGGGGTTACAAAATAAGAGGTGAGAGAGAAAAGGTGGGATCACATGCATGTAGCATTAAAAGCCACACTGGACTACTTATAAGCTACTTGCGCCCTCTATATATCAAACAATGCCTAATCGGTGCCTGTTGGTCCCCCGTGATCGTCATTTTCTTATGTTAATTGAGAGCGGATTTGAAGAGATAACCACCTGTCAGTTACCTTGCAGGGAGGTATAATTCCCCTGGCCAGACTGGTACAGACGGGCCTGGGCATTAAATCAAAAGGCAACCATGGTTTATTGGAACGACTAGAGCATTGCAAGATGATAGTCGCTTTAAGTTTCTCAAGTATCTGTTAATAATTTACATTCTTAGACCTCACACATTACCACGTCCGTTTCACCCGACTGTTTTCCTTTATATTTATGCAACACATCTTATACATTATGCATGTTGTCATACTTCTATTCAGTAAGTGCTGTTGGATATTTCTATTACACTATTCTCCCACACTCGATCTCAATTGAAGTCTTCTGACCAGTCCTCCTCCTCTCCCTGTCTTTCCTCAATATGTTTTCTTCTGTATATTATTTTTTATCAGTGGCAACAAGTATGCCGCTCGTTTCATAATGCTATCGCAATGTTGGTACATTCAAACAACGGAGAATTGTTAAGGTAGCACAAATGGCCAGGGCATCTCTTTTTAACAAAGGCATCCTAAGAACTGTTTAATTTACAACACCCCCCTACCACCACCCTTTTAAACAAAGCCCCTGAGACAAGCATTCAATATTCTCCGATTTGGCACAGTAACGTTTGGACCGTATTGCATTTGATGCCAGAAATTCTAAGGAACAAAAACATCTTTAAAATATCAAATAGGTAACACACTAAGAGTTCCAAAATCATCACTTTCGAGGGAAATAAATTAACATTTTAAAAACTGTTTAGCATAGCTCAAAACAAAACCTATCGTTTTCAGAGACATGGCATGTTGATAAAAGGAAACATATTTGTTGCCGAATTGCAGAAGAAAAGGTTATCAAATAAGCCTTTTAAGAATTCCTATACTAAAAGGGTTCAAAACCTGGAACGGCTCCTGATCACTAGAAATGCTTTATTCTGATGCACAGCGCGCTGCAGCGTAGCTATCAAATAGGGAATTTCCCAAGTTCCATTACCATTATAAACCATATTTAGTAATATTACATCTCCTTATGGACACTCTATCCCTCATTTCATTCATTAAGTAACCTTCATTTGACACATTCAATACTTCTTTTACCCCCTTTGAAAAGAAAGATATCGTATTTTCATTTAGGGGAACCTTACAATAATCAAGGACAATATACCATTCATGTTTGTTCTCCATCTCTCGACACGTAACTAAATATCCCAACGCTTGTTCTACCATCACTCGATGCCGACAATGACAATTGAGACGGTTCGTACACGAACAATATTGGCTCTCAAGCATGGAAATTCATTTCGAGGTCGCCGTTTTCATATAAACCTTGCAGTCATCATCAACAAAATATAGAACGCTGCCGAGCGCGGTTCATTACAATATAAATTAATGCATTTCATAAAGTACCCATATTCAAATATGAACATGAATTGTTCTGTGATATTCAATATATCTGTTCATCTTTGTATTTTTCTAGCGGCTGGTAAAAGATCAGGAAGCGAGGCCAGTACAAGACAAGAAGATGGAACTCTACATGAGGCAAGTAAACAAAAATCACAGTGTTTAAATGTCATATGTCCCAATGTATTACACTATGTTGGTCCTATGTCCCACTGTATTACGCCCTATTGGTCCTATGTCCCAATGTCTTACACCCTATTGGTCCTATGCCCCAATGTATTACACCCTATTGATCGTATGTCCCAATATATCACATCACATTAGTCCTATGTCCCAATGTCTGACACCCTATTGGTCCTATTTCCCAATGTCTTACACCCTATTGGTCCAATGTCCCAATGCATTACACCATATTGGTCCTATGTCCCACTTTATCACATCCTATTTGTCCTATGTTCAAATGTCTTACACCCTATTGGTCCTACATCCCACGGTGCCTAAGTCCGTTTTTTTCTGTGTTGCTTCTACCCACTATTATGTCTTATTACACAGTCATGTCTCTGAATTATACGTTATCGTAGGATAGATGTTGACTCAGGGCACGCTGACATGTAACCGAATAACGAAGTCTAGTACTTGAACATTTAACCAGGTATAATTAGGGACTACGTAGTATTTCATTTCACTACATGGAATTTTCAATGAGTGCTGGAGAATATAAGTTATTCATTAAACATCATAAAATGTTTTCATTAATTCCCGATCCTATCGTGTTAAATTTTTGAACTTCTTAATCAATTTCACTTCTGTTTCTTTCATTTGACATACCTCTTTCTCGCCACTATATTCCACTATATGAAGTATCATCTGTTACCTAATAATTTTTATGTAAAACAGAAAAGAAAAGAACAAAAACCCTTTTCTCTCTTCGAATATGTCATGTAAACACGAATACTGTTTACAATTAGAGAATGATGACAAAATGCTTGACATGAAGACAATTACGGGTTTATTTTGTCTTTTTTGTTTTGCAGGCGAAGGAAACAATGCCCCCCAAAACGTAGATAATGTTTTTTTTCTTCAATACACCAGTGACTTACAATTCAAAGAATTCAAAGACGCCACGTTCTCTTTAAAGATTGATGAAAAGTAAAAGTATAAGGTACCAGACCAAGATGGTAATTGAGAACCAGTTGGGAGGGAAGCGCTATTAAAGGCATTGAGTAAAATAACACTGCACATGTACTGCGATGGCAGATTACAGAGATGTGGAAAATGTTGCAATCAGCTTCCGAACTGGGAGAAGATACCTTGATAGATTACTTTCAATTAAACTTGCCAATGCTAAATAGTACTTTCAGAACCATAATCTTTTCAATCTGATTTCTACTTCACAGAGAGAAAACAGTTTAGATTTTGGATCGGCTTTTGACAACTCAGCTTGTGTTTTGGATTCACTCGCCGCACAATTACCCGCTGTTTGGCAAGATAGACTAGTTGATGTAAGTACTTCTCCATTCTTCCACCGTTTGAGTAAATCTTGGTCTATTAAGGTGTCGTAGTATAGTGGTTCATTCACTTGAATCACAATCCGAGGGCTCAGGGATCGAATCCTGGCCTGGCATGATATATGAATCTGTCAATCAATTGCAGGGGTAATGCTAATGGCAAGGCACACAGGAAAAACAGCTCGTAATTCTACTGATGTGGCTACCCTGGGTTAGAAAAAAAAAATCGATCCACTCCTGCACAAAGCATGTCAGCCATTATCATTTACTGAACAAAGATGGTTAGTCAAAGCAATTTGTAACGAAATCGGATATAATATATAGGACCCTATATTAATCAGATGACTGTTTAATATCTGGTTGTTGTTTTTTAATGGTCATTTGAAGTAGCACTAGTATGTAGCAAAAATACTTTTTTACTTGGTATATATAGGTGCAGTTATAAAAGAATGTATACATATTCTTTTTGGGGCTATGGGGCTTAGGGGGTTCCTGCAGTAATTTTCTACATATGTTTTGCGAAGAAAAAAATTCGGGGGGGGGGGTTGAGACTACGACCCCCTTAAAACCTCCGCTGAGTAATATGTAGATAGCAGAAGTTACTAATTTAGAACCGATCGATTTAATGATTATATATGTCTCTTTTATCCCCCAGGTTATTCGAAGCGCCTTGCAAGAAGACGATTCGTGGTACTAACTACCTGCTCATTTAGTGCGGATAAAATGGAGTCTACTGCAGAAGGACACAAACAAAAGAACATGAACTATGCCGGGAATTATTATTTCAATCAGATGAAAGCATGGGAGCAAACACCGGATGTTGATGCCTAGTAACGGATTCTTTGTGCCTCCAGAATTGTTGAAAAACGCACATCAAAGCAAACAATATAGACTGATTTATTAGAGATATAACCATCTGGCTCATTGTATCACCACCACAATTTTAGTTTTAGGACTGCCAGGAGCTATTCGCTGAGTCTGCGGCGCGGAAGCTCAGGGTTTAGGTCATCAGTTAAGGACATACTTTGACGATTTCTGCGTTATTCTTTGAAGTAACGCTCAATTCTAAAGTGATAAAATACTAAAGAAATAAAATTTGTTTCATTACAAAAAATGCATCTCCATTCTAACTGTATATACGCACCGTTGTTATTAATTCATTTTTCTTTTCCTTTTCCATACTCTTACTCTTTCCAGTATCTGATTTTATTTTAAAAACGTTCCATTAACCTTCTTTAAAAAAAAATCATATAATATATGCCTTTTACACAACACCATCAAAAAAACAAATGAATTAATACAATTCTTTATTTCCTCTCCGACACGAATTCAACCTGGTATATGGTGTTCGCATATTCTATTGTTATTATATAACAACTGTGTTCTATGTCTATTCAATTATTTGTGTATTACAATTGAATACATTGTTATAATTTCTTTGTTTCGTTCGAAAATCGAAAAAATGAAAATAAAAAATAAAGAGATATCATCGCTGAAATAAAATGTAATGTTTGTAAATGTTTTCTCAAACTGTATAGACAAAGCAATGTTAAACTAAATAAAGATTACATCCACTTCTGAAAAATAGTATTACAAACTTTTTTTTCCATCTTAAAATACATAATTTTTATTATTTCTTCACCTATCTTATGCAGATCATGATCCCTACTTGTTTTCTTCATTTATCTTTAATAGCCTTTGCTTGAAACGATTTAATTATTATGTTATTGATTAATGATTACAGGACAAAAAAACGTTCTTAACAAGTAGCTTACAATGACAGCATAAGGAAAGTCCAAGATTCAAAATGATCTTGTGAGTGTCATGTACTTCGTGTACTCGTATGGTTTTATATGTCATGTTTTCCTGAAATGTTCAGGTACATTTCCCAATATGGCCGTACCAACTCTATTCTGCTTTTAAAGACACTTCCCTTATAATCCGTGAGCTGTCTTATCACTGGGCCCTGTTTAAAAAAATTGTTATCAATAACAAGATACAATAACTGTTTTAAGCAACTTAATTCGTGGCATTTGAATGACTGAGACCAACTTTGTCATAGATACATGTACCTAGCATTTGTAATTGATAGCAAGTTTTATTAAACAGGGCCCTGGCTTTTCTCTGGTAGCCTCTGAGCTTGTTACATACATTGTATTACAAAGTCAATACTTCAAAACAGAAAGTTTCCGACATTGGTGCTGTCGTAGAATGTCACTTAATGACATAAGTTGTTGTAGGAAGTTCATAGGCCTAATGCCGTGGCACGATAATTGATTGATTTATTACCTATTTTTACTTTTAAGTTTTATGTAAAATGTGACTTGGCGCATCGAGAAACAGACCAGTCAAAACCAGCCGCAGGACCCTGTCAGACTGGATGATGCATTATGTGCAACGTACATATTGCTATTCCTTGGTAGTCTATAAGCCAGTGGTCATAGTTTGCCTGTGCATGGCCCGGTAGGACTTGTTGACTTCGGATGTCAAAGTTGTCGGAAGGCATCATTGCAAGTTGCCGTAGATGTGTCTTTATTTGGCTCCATACTTCCCGACGACTGCATGCGTCGCTTCTTAAACTGTACATTGGGGTAAACTTGGTGGTAGGTTGTTTTAGCATGCATGTCGTAAACTATGTCGTATATAGGTGTAGTCCATACAGTCACAGACAGTCGTATAAAAGATTTCCTAGGCGGGACAGAGCCATTCTGGCCTTAGTTGAATGGACTCAACTGTATTAATTTACTTCTAGATACTATGTCCCTTTTGCAGCCAACATCAAATTCTGTCGAACTTTACAGGAATTATGAATATGTCATGTATGTCCTATCTGTGAAATGTAAACGTTAGCAGTGTCCTAATATTCATATTATGCAAGGAAATCCGTTTACTTGCTAGACTTCACTGTCAGACACTATTGAGTGACTGACTGGCTTTTTTCATCTTTGGTACTAACATACATAAAATGAGCTGTAAAAGGTACATTGGCATTTGTCTACATCAATAACCCACTTCTTGTAATGGCCAAAATTAAACTGAGTGAAGCTTTGCGCAGCATAAAACGTACGACCATTCGGTACAATGGTCTGAAAAATCAGACTATTACTTACTAGATCTATAGCTCTTAAGTAGATTTGACAACTAATAGTCGTTATTTTCCCACTTAAAGACATTTTCAAGCCCCCCCCCCTTTTTTTTTTGAGGGGGCAGTTCTAAATTACTATTGTCTTTCAAATGCCGTTGGAATTTAACCTTTTCATTTTTGGGGCCTGCAAATGGGACATAGTACCTTTAACGTCACAATTTGACCTTACGGGCGTGAAGATCCTCGCTTTTACTCAACCGTCCATTTTTGTCCATATTGGCAAACGTTACTCTTTTCGCCCTTAAGCGGACCGGAAAAAGTGTTTATAGGCAAAAGGTAATGTTGTTCTATCTAAGATGGAAATTGAAACAGTAGATATATCGTATTTAAATTGATAAATATTTTGTATACAAATACATGCTCATCACTACCATAATCAATTTACCTGTCCTATTATCTCGTTCATGAGAAATATCAAATGGTTAGATTGGATTAAGGATTCACTTTATATTTAACACGCTTCTGCTACAGTCACAGAAAAAGAATTGTTGACATACATCTTTCAGACATGAGATTAGTCTACAATTTAGAAATCATATATGTACGCATGGCCTATATTTATTAATGACTTCTAAATGTCACAGAATAATAAAAAAAGATTTAAAATTATTAACTTTACAAATTACCTGGTTCTTGTTACGGTTACCACGACAACAAAGTGAAATCAGGACTACTGGAAATCTTCAATGCCATTTACGCCAACTTAGATTTCGTAATCTCACGAATTTCATGTAAAGATTAAGTTCGGAGTAATTCTCCTCATGCGGAACGATACAGGGGGTGGTGGATTTAGAGGAGATAATTGTTTTCCCTACCTTCAATGACTAGCTGGCATGTTAGTGAACACCAACATTTGATGCCAGCGAAATTCCAAGGTATTTTGTCTCATATTTAACAATGACATCATGTACTTTTCATAAAACTGATGATAGCTCTACTATAGCCTGGACCAGACCAAATATCTGGGAAAATACCCTGGGCGTTAATTATGTTTAATATTCACGATACTCGTTGACTAATGGGATACAAAAAAAGACCTAATGCTTTTGACCCGCCCTACACTGAAACCAGTGATACGAGAAAGCGAAGAAGATTGCCCAGATTGGTTTTTCACTTTCTCGAAAATTTGTGTGTTCCGGTAGTAGTCATAATATAAAAACATTGCATGGTTATCCCCTCTAGCCCAAATATCAATTTCCCAGGTTTAAAAATTTAGCGAATAGTAAAGTGAGCAACACCTTTGGACTATATATATCCACTTCATGTAACTTCCTTATTGAAAGTAATGAGGAAAGATTTTTTTAAAATCATGAATATGGTTGCCCAAATAGATTCGATGCCCCCGCCCCCACTAATTCTCACTCCGCCTCGTAGGCGTATGTCTCCTAATATCATTATTAGATCCTTTAGTATCTATTTGGCAAGGGTGTTCTGAAATAAATATTCTGAAACATTATTAGAATTCGATTTGTGTTTTTTGCGTCATCGGTAATTATTTCAGATATATCCGACAAATCTCCCGTAATTATAATCGACGATTCACCTGCTCGAGATTTTCAGGAATCATGGAAATTGCTCAACTGAATTGATATGCTCATTTAAATTTAATGAACACCGGAAAAGGGAAGGCTGGATTGATTTTTCTATATGGATCTGATGAACCACAAAGCCAGATTACTGTTCAATTGATTATTTTAAAGAACAAACAACTACTTTACATTAATCGGAAACTGAACATGATCAAAGTAAACCGCTTGTTTTTCAGAACTCTCTAGATTCTAGGTTCTTTAAATAGCTCATTATGATAAGAATTGGTCAAATTTAATTGGAAATGTAACCACACCAATGAATATAATAAACAATATTGTAGATGTTTTCAACTTATACTAAAATTGTTTGTCTCGGTACGTTAATTCTAAATGCTCATTCGTAACTGAACTTAATTTACGGGTCGGTTACATATCACTGATAATATTTCTATAAAGACAAAGTATCGGATATCGGTGTTGCTCGCCGGTGTTGCCAATGAGCATTGAGCCCCTGCGTTCTTTGATCCAATACCCTTTTACACTAAAAAATATTATTTCAGTGATTTGAGACCGGTCCTTAAATCCATTTGCAACCATTTCCTCTAACAAATTAAAATGTTAAATCACCATAGGGCCGAGGTGTGACCACGTTTTTCACAATTTCCAATTAACACTTTAAGCATGCTAGATTCAAGTGTATAGTGTTGGATCTAGCATGTTTAAACTGTTCATCTACCAGTCTCCGACATGAATTCACTTTGTCATAACATTTTATCATCTTTCTTTCATTACAATCATTATTATCATTATAATCATCATCATCATCAGCATCATCATTATTATCCTTATATTTTACATATCCCTTCAATTGTTTGTTCATTCTGCATAATGAATTTGTTCATCTATTTCATAAGATTTGTTTTTGGGCTGTCATATTCCTAGCAATTTGCTCACAATTGCACACCCTTCTTCCGAAAATGATTTGATAAAGTTCGATGAAATATGATAATTTGATAATTCACCCATTTTTGATGATTGATTGATTGTAAGATAGTACTTTTTAGGAGTTTATGTTTCTAATGTTATCCAAAATTGTTTATATTCATACAGGATGCAGCCCTTTGAATTGGTTCACGTAACAGATTTTAGAGAGCTCGTTTCTTTGATATAGTGAACTAACATGTGTAATGTTTTCAATTTTCTGAACATTTTGGCACCACTTTCATTACATCCGCTAACATCCGCTAACATCAGCCCACTCTATCATTTCTTTCTCTCTCTCTCTCTCTCTCTCTCTCTCTCTCTCTCTCTCTCTCTCTCTCTCTCTCTCTCCATTTCAGTGCATATCACTTGTCTCAGCTAACCCTATTCTCCTTTCCACCCCCATCTTTAGACTGGCTTCTCTGAAATTAAAGAGGACTCATTTATCCGTTAATGGTCCCGATACATCACCCATCTTTCCTCACCCCTAAGTAGGTCTGATAGATCCGCCCCACCGACAGAAGGTCGGTAATAACGTTAGTCTCTCTCTCCGTGACGTTTTACCTGCCGGAACCATAGCCTGCGTCTTATACGACCTTGCTGCTTCGGGTATTCATTCATCCCATTGTAGCTCATATACCAGTCTAATTCCGATTCATTTAGAGTTCATTCCCCCTTTTGTGAATGCTGAAAATAATCGTGTCTCAATGCCTTCCTTCGTCGGCTTCAATTTTGCTGTCGAATTCCAGACAAAATATCATGAGAATAAATCGGAAGAGAAAAGTGCTTTGTTCTCTCAAGTGGACACGTCATACTTGATATGAAAAAAGATGGTGGTATTGATTGGGATAGGGAAATATAGCTAGAATGTTTTAGATATGATTTTAGAGATTTTTTCTTTCTCTTTTGAAAAGACAACTTCTAACTGTGATCAAACACTAGGCTTGATGTGATTAAAATAGCTGAAGAGTTTAATATTCTTGTATTTTGGCTCATCATCCTGCTATGTAGTATATATAGTTTAATATGATTTTCTGAAGTTGAAGTTGGTATTTTTGCTTTTCGGAGAAAAGTTCATCTTGGATCATAAACGTGATATTCTAATAACTTCATTGTTTCAATCAATATCTAATTTCTTTGATCTATATATATATTGTAACATCATATGAAATATGTATCCGGTACGTCAAATTTGAATAAGATTTGTGATTGTCAAAATAGGATTGTTTTTTTAACAGAATGAGCAGGACAATCTTTAATTAAAAGTCATTTAATACAAACAATAGATTGATGTCTGCGCTTTTAATAGGTCAATTACATTTCTGTATGACACTTCGTTATTAATATTATACATGTATCATAATTGTGGTATTTGTTAAATCAAATCCTGAATACATTGAAACAAAGGCTGTGCAAAGAGAAAAATGTTGAAATTAAAGAAACTTAAAACCAAATGTTTATAAATCTGATGTGTTGCTCACTGTTTTGATTGAATGTGGTCCTCTCAGTGGCTGTGGTTTGTGGCTGGTCGTTCCTTTGTTGTGGTTAAAAAGTTGATTTGTTTTTATCTATACCTCTTTTACCCCTTCTTAGTAAGACTATGATATTATGACTAGATCTACTCTTGAAATATACAGAAATGGAAGTTTTTTGGGGCGTCATTTCAGGGATCATGTTATTTAAAAATAGTGAAAAGACTTATATTTTCTTAATTCCATAGGAAGCGGAAAACCATAATTCATTTAGATCTTAAAGAGGAGAGGGAGATACACACATACATGTATCACCTTTTCACTCTGTCAATGCAAAATTTGATACATATTTAAAACTTTATGACGTAAAGGGTACAGTATGAGATAACGACTTGACTTCAAATTATTTTGCTCTCATGTTTGGTCGCGTGCTGCATCCTTGACCAATCATTGAATGAGGAACTCACCAGAGTATAGTGAATTTTATGGCCCAAACTTTGACGACAATGTGATTAAATGGAACTTACAGCTGTTAAATTGCATCAGTTAGGAATAACATACATGCCGGAGCTGACATCATTTTTCTGATTAATTTAAAGATTTATTGGAAAAAGCAATGAAAATTCATGAAGCCAGGGCTTTTAGAATATGGGTTGATTTCATATT